AAGAAATTTGGAAAGTATTGCTTTTGCACATATTGTCCCTTTGTTGTTCAAGTGGAACTAAAGATGCACTGGTATGGTAACCTCTCTGCACAAAATGGCCACAGTATATGCAAGCCATTAGCTATGGCAGATTCATAAAAACAGCTTGTTAATACATTTCAGAGCAGGTGTACTGTGTCATGATTTTAAGAGGAGAAAATTGTATGTGTTAATCCAGATCTCATCAAAATCCAGGACACTGAATTCAATGTCAGGAGCAACTAACAAGCTTGTAGGAATCCACTATGAACATGGATCTGAAAGTGCTCCCAAATGCCTGTAGGGCCTGTATATATTTTTAATACTTATCAAGATTTTGTGGATAAAATCTTGTTTTGTATAAATAAATGTAGCAGATTGTTTGCCTACTTCTGCTTCAACAAATGTATTTTTTCATATCCTGGATAATTCATGCTTCTATTACTTACAAATTGTTTCGGAGACTAATGGCTGAATTCCTATATCAACAAGCTGGATCTTGGAATTCAGACTTTTCCTTCTTTTAATTTTTGTTCTGTGATTCCTGAATAATTCCATTTGTAGTACTCTGAAACATCCATAAATAATTATTAGTACAGACTGTTCACCATCAGAATTGTGTAATGTAGATATGGATGAAGTCTTGAATTTTGACTGGAGTCTTTTCTCTTTTCTAAAGTGTTTCATTTTGCACAATGTTTCTTTCCCCTCCCTCCCCCTGAAATACTTGTCTTGGATCATAAAAACTGGCAATAACACATAAGGAAGTGTAAGTTTTTGCAATGGCTTGCAGACCAACTTCTTTGTGTCCTCCAGCAACAGGTGCTTTTCACTTTGATCTAGAGAACTGTTTGACATCTTCAGATATGGAACTATGTGGGATTCTCATTCCTGTTCTTATTGATTCAGCATCTTGCTCTTCAGCATCTATTTGCAAACAATTGCTAATAATAGGCTCATGAGAAAGCAAGCTGTGTTTGTTACATGCTGTAGCATTCCAATTGTTAGATCTTACTGCTAACTGCAGGGTATAGAAGAGAGATGTCTGCTTGGTCCAGAAAACACGGGTACCTTGATGCTGATTTTTGTTATTTGTGAGGGATGACAACAATTCCTGAAAAGCCTATTGGAAAGTCTTCACACTGATGGTGCAGGACTGCAAAAATATATTAATTGGGTGACTCTGAATATTCTGTTGTTGATTAAATTTTTTGAAGACTAGAAGCTTCGATAAAAGTTGCAGTTCAGTAGCAACTGATTATCATACAATGCAAACAAATCATCTTTGGAAAAAATCTTAAAATCTAAACAGATAATTAAAAATAATCATAGGCTGGGTATGAAAATAAAAGCATGACCACGGAAGAGACAAAGAATCATGTTCCCAAACAGTCTACAATAATGGTGAGTACATTTCCTTTAAACTCATATGTAATATGTATATCTTAAAATGTTTGTAATAAACTGCAGATGTCAACTGCTCCATGAAAAAAAAATTCTAATTTTCGGTATTATGTCTCAATTAATAGAATTGTTCAAAAGTAGTTTAAAAAAGTCGTTTGTCTGGAACACTGTGTTACGGTACATGTATAAAATGGATCATGAAGAAGAAAGAGAACTTAAAGAAGCTGTAACAGTATATCTCTGCTGAGTTTATATCCAGAACCCAGTATCAGCAAAATGCCAGTCTATCTCTTAGTAGGAAGCTGTGAAAATGAGGAGGAATGGTGAAAAACTCCTATGCTTCAAAAGCTAAAGCTGGTCCTAAAGCTCCTCTGCTTTCTTTCCATCTTGGAAATGGTTTGGCAATTTGGATTTCTGCAATCATTTGCCAGGTATCAGAAACAGATATAAAGCCCAGAACCGAGTGCAAGAAAGACAAACAGCAGAGCTGAGCAATACTTTTCACCTGTATAGCCAGAAGTACTCTGGTATTTGGGAAATCCAGTATGAAACTTGGAACACAGACATGAGGAAAGATGGGATTTGCCTTTTGAAACGTATGGACTAGAAACTTGCTGCCACCCAGCGTCAGTAGGTATCTGTTCCCATGAACTAGCCCTTGGAATTCAGTCTGTGTGGGCCGGCCACCCTGTCCCTAGACAGAGTCTGAGATCCCTGGGTTCTCGTGTGAGGAGCTCGGGGTGCACAGCTGCCTGCTAAGGCACGCACAGGCTGAGGCATAGCCCACTGAAAGGGAGGATAAAAGGTAAGGGTGAAGATCCTGCAAAAATTGAGGGGTTAATCTTCCCTTGCTGCACCTCTCTTTAAGAAAAATGCCAGACATCGCATACAAATGTTGCTATTCAAATGCTGTTCAAGCCCAAAAAGCATGCAAAATTGCATTAAGTACGTACATTTTCCTCATTATGTTGAAGCAGGATATCTTAAGTGTTAAAAGTGGCAGTAATGTGCACATTAGCCCAAACTGTTCACTGTCCGACAGATCACAGACAAAAAGCTGTATTGGTCATGAGAAAAAGTAATTTAAAAGTATTCTTTTTTTAAAAATTTCAGTACTCTTTTGAGGGTTATTTTGGGATGAAGACAGAGGCGCACACTCTGCCACATCAGACAACTATAGAATTCTTCTGTAAGAAGAAACTGCAAAATTTTAGCATCACAAAAAATTTGTGTCATGAACAGCCAGGCAGCCAGTGTTAAGCACAATAGTGGTTAAGATGCTGATTTAAATGAACAGGGGTATTAACAATTACAATTACAAAAAAAAAGAGAGAAAGAAAAAAAATAACAAAAAACCCCTCAACAAAACCAATAGAAGCAACATGCAACATATAGAAATTAAGTTTAAAAAAATGAGTATGTTTCTTTTGCATTGAAAAGTCAGTCCCTGAATCCTTTTTACTTTGTAGCTCCTATTCATATTGTCCATCACCTGATGTCCAGTTGACTTGCATATTGAGCTACTTAATTTTTTCCTAAACAAATTCTTCTTCTTGAGCCATCCAAAAAGAGCTATAAAACTTGGTCAAACAAGGCTACCAACCTGGTTGAGCAAGAAAGTGGCTTTTTACAAGTTCTGTAACAACTCCCAACAGAAAGCTTTTCCAGGCTCCTGACTGTATGAAGGATTTTTCTCTCTCTCTCTAGCATAGTGAATATGCAGTTGTATCAACGACCTCTCACATTTTCTCAGAACTCATTACTTTACCTTCTATTGTTCAGAATCTTCACCTAACAGCAAAAGAAACCTTTAGAGGTGCAAAGACTGTATCGAAGAGAAAACCCCAAACGTGTCACGGACATAATACACTACAGAATTTTAAGTGCTATGATACAGCACTGAAGTGGAATGGTGAAGAATGCCCTTTACTCTCATCCTGGAAACATCTAGCCATTGAAACACACCATAATGATTTTTGGTATGGGAAAGCCTTCAAAATTTATTCATCTTGTCTGCCAGAACTTTTACCCTGAGAGTAGTGTGTCATGAATTTTAATAGAAGGCTATGCATCAACAACACACTCTCCCAGTATGCACTAATATCTTATGTACATAGTTAACTAATTTGTTGCCTTATATTTCTGCGCCACTTCAATGCTGTTATAATCTTTGAATGTTGAATATTTTGGGGAAGTATTGAGTCAGGTAACAATAGCATTGTGTTCTACTTTGTAATCCCTGCACACAAACCTGTTCTCTCCCCCAGTGCTTTTTTATTACTTTAAAAAATCATTCAAGATAGGAATATTTCATGGTTACCAACAGGCTATATTTATTATTATAATTGAGGACTCTACATACATTGTTGCACAAAATTATCATGGACCAATCAACAAAACTATACAGTTTGTATGCAACTGTAAATAGCACTTTAGCAGAAGTTTAACATATTGTGCATTAGTTGTCTTAGTAAGGTGACAACTTAAGATGATTACTTCATAGTACAAAAGTGCAAACTTTCATTCAAGGCATACACAAATACACATAAAGGATTGCTATACATGCCACAGGTCTGTAATAAACTTCAAACCAATTCCCTCCACCCTAAAGTTAAATGAGTTAAGTACCAGCACTCTTAGCAACCACCAGTGTCACCACATTCCAAGTCTTGTCTCTACCAAGAAGCAGAGAAATGCAATCTGAAGAAATGCCCTTAGCTTGGAGTTTTAGAATTTTAGATGTAATGCAAATATGTCACACGAACTCCATGTTTTTTTGTCAAGAATGAGTTACACCACTATAGAAGCACTTCACCAGTGTATTACCACTAATTCCTGAATCACTATATAAAGTAACTGTGTGCAACAGTTGAATGTTGAAGGAAATAGTGTCTTTACATCAAAAGGTGATAATAAAACCAGAATTCAAGTATTTACTACTAGACTGTAAGCAATTCTGACCTTCTGCTCCTGTGCACTACATAAAGCAGATGAAGCAAAATTTTTTATTTTTTCAGTTTTATTTTTCCCTTTGCCCTGGGAAAAGGTGCAGAGGGAAGAAAAAAAATGTAAGAGCAATCCTACATATACAGCAGTTGGTGATAGACATGTGGGTACAACTGTCCACATCAAGATGACCTCTGGATTTTCATTTGCAGCATTAGTGCTCTCAGATCACTCCCATCTCAACACCTACAAGACTCCTGCTGTCCCTCTACTTTTTATTTGCACCATTTTCACCAGCCCAAATCTGTTGCTCAAGCAGACATGTGACTTCTTCTCTGCACAAGTGAGCACCTGAGCTGCAGGTCAGGTCATTGTCATCTCTGGACAATCAGGAGATAAAAGGGTGGAACAGTTCCTCTCTCATACCAGGTTTTGGGAAGGTCTGGAGAGACATTTACACTTCTGTCTCAGCACCAATGAAGAACTGCTGAAGACTGTATAAGCTTGAAAGACATTTGTTTACAAAACCAAAATTCTGATAAAGTACATTCCAAAGAAAAAGTGGCCTTTTATGGTATTTTAATTACCCCTTAGATTAATTTTAAAGTAATATGAAATATTAAGGGTTTTATTAATTAAAAAATGCTTTTTCTCCTGTTATCAAGTTAAATCAAAGACAGGAGTCAAACAGAGGGGACCATAAACTTTGGTGAAAAAATTCTCCTACCTAGAGAGTTACGGAAAAGTGTTCAAAGTTTAACAAAATTAGTAGCATGCATGATTTCCAAAAAAAAAAAAAAAGTAATGAGAAATTTGAGATTTGTGTCTCAATAAAAGTTTTCATAGATTTTGGTGCAAACACAGCACATTCTGTGAACATGGGAAATGAGAATGTGGAAGCAGTTCTATCACCCTTGTAAATTACTTGAGGCAAGAAAAAAACTGAAATGTGAAAAACAAGGCCTATGTATAACTTTTTAGCCCTCAAGTGCCCAGATACTTCATGCTTTGAAAATGACCAACTACAGAAGGGATTGTGCCTTCAACAAAGAAAGGAAAATAATTAAAATTAGGCTAGCCCTCTTCAAAGCATTTCTACAACAGGCACTACCATAGCCTACCACTATATTAATACACGAACAACACTTTTATTTCCCTGAATTTAAGGGAAAATAAACCAACAGAAAATGCACTTGTAAAAAGATGAAAGCACTGGAAAATTACAAAGTAAGTAAGAACTGTGAGCTTTTATGTGTAAATCTTTATAAATACATAGAAATGGTTGCAATTTTTTTCATTGGTTTGTTTTCCCCAAATCAAAGCAGAGCACAATGTATTCTTTCAAATGGTTTTGAACAGGGACGTATGAGTAGGATTGACAAAGAAAATGACAGAGAAAAACAACAGTGAAATTTTATTTCCTTGGCAAGTGGAAGTACAAAGATGTTACTGCAGTACTTACTGTTCTTACCTTTTAAATCCCAATTCATCACAAATTACAGCATAACTACATCAGTGGTAGAATTTAATACACAGCTTATATTTTCAAATATTTAAGTTTATTTTTCTTAATAGTATCCCCACTTTACGCAGCCTACAAACCTGAAGGAAATGCATATGCTTCTGAAAGTCATAACAATAAGTGTTTTGGGCTGCTCTAAGTCAAAGAAGTAGTCCTGAGATTTCAGATGTTAAAGCTTTCTCCACAGCCACATGTTCCTTTGATGTTTGGATTATTGAAGACAAATTCACTGGACAGTTTGTCTTCTACATAGTCCATTTCAGTTCCTAGAAGTGTCAGCTGTGCCTTCTTTTCAATAAACACTCTAACCCCTTGGAAAGAACAGAAAACCAGAAATTACATACAACTTTGAAATTCTCTTTTGACCAGTAATAAAAAAAGAGGAAGCTAAGCATAAAGACTACCAGTACACCTTGGTTTCCCTGGCCTAATGTGGGGCACTTTAATCACTGTTTTCATTTTACCTATAGAAGCCTGGCAGAAGTCTGGAACTGTTACTTATGTGTGCACGTGAAATTTTTTTTTTTTGCCAGGTGACAAAAAAATGACACAGAGGGAAATAAGCTGTAGAACATGGCAACGAACCTCAGCTTGAGTACACAATTCCCATGCATTACAGAGAGTAACCCATTTCATACCCTTCTTAAAGACTGTGAATCCAACAAGAGGCAGAAAACTTTGACAACATAGATTTCTTCTCTCAAAATGACCAGGTTTCCCCCCACCACAGAAGCTTGTGCTGCTGCACCAGAAACTTACCATCCTGAACTACTTCTTCATCAGAGTCTCCTTTCGATTTTGTATATTCTAATGTGTAAGAAAGTCCATTGCATCCCCTTGTACGAACACCTACTTTCACACCTACCTAAAGAAAAAGAAACAAAAAACACCACCACATGCATGACTTCCTTTTTAAAACCTATTCAGAACATCAAGTTAAAAAGAATGCAGAACAATGAAATGCTGACATCTTCTTTCTCCACTGCCCAAATGCAAAAGTGAATTACTGTAACAGTTAAGAGGTAACTTTTTTCTTTTATAAATTTGACTGCTGAGGTAAAAAAAAAATCTGATGCTTGCTGGAGTGGATCCTGCCCTACAGGATGTTAAATTTTTGAAGTAATGAATGAAGTAATTGGCACTCCTGTAGGAGCCAGGTCTCAAAAAGACAGTCAAATTTCAAAGACAGCTATTTTTGAGACTTCAAATTACAGTTTACTCAGATGCTAATTCAGGTACGATGGTAAGAGTCTAGACAGTAACATAATTATGAAGCTGTGAGGCCAAAACAAGGGCAGTTACTAGATTATCACATAACTCTTATAATGACACTATCAGAAAACTTACTTTAAATCAAAGTTTGGAAAAATATACTTCGATTTTTCATTACTTCTACTGCCAGTATCAAGAGGCAAAACCCTCCCTAAATAAAGTATACGTATATGTTTACTGTTTTAACTGGCCTTAAAAGCCAACTTAGTCAATTTTTGTAATATTCACATCATTCAACAAGTCTGGCAAAAAGAGCATCCGTGCAAGGAAAACATCAGGAAGTTTTAACGAAGTAGAAAACTATTTGTGTGTAAGAATCTTTAAGAAGTATCTATATCACCTTTGACACACCAGTGCTTCATAACTGAAGAGGCAAATTTTATTATTTATGTCCATATGTTGTGATAACAATGTATCAAAATGTAATACTTCTCATCAAGAAGGGCTCTCAAGACAAACTGGATCTTATCCTTTCAGACTAAATACCTTTTTCTACAGGAACTGCTACAAATAATGGGTTGGAAAACGCAAACGCCATTTACAGTCAGGAAATGACTGATCATATAAATTGTAGGCCCAGAGCTTCCTTAGGATGATTTAAAACATTAGAACAAGTAAGTCTAGGTAGCTGCAGACATGCAGGAAGCAAAATAAACAATGGCCTTCGTTAACAAAAAAAATATTCTTCTTGAAATAATACTTACTGTAAAAAAAGCTAATGTTTGTTTTTACAATGGTTATAAAAGAAGCCTCTGTGTGTCTTTCCCTCAAGAAAAGATGACAAACTCATTATTTGGTGATACAATGGTTACTTAAAAAAATACATTGTCTGGCAAGTTTCCTAAGAATTAGATGTTCTCCAATGCATATGAATATAACTTTATTATTGCATACTTTACAATAACTACAAGAACTTAAATAATAACAGCTGAAGAGCTCTCTCCCTATCAGAAGTCACTATTATGCCATACTAAAGGGTTTCATTAAAATGTAGCTCAAAAATATCTGAAGCCTAACATTTTTCCAGCTTTATTAACCTCAACAATAACTGTATAGTGAAATGTCATTACAGTCAGTTATTCTTGCATTTCATTTTATAACAAAACAAAGTTGGATATACAAATAAGCTTATGCATTTCCCCACCTAAAAAAAGATGTCAACATCTCTGACAAATACCTCTAACAGTGTTCAGTTCAAACTTCTAAGCCAGAAATGCTTTGCAATCATGAGCTGTGCTAATATCTTAGCATACCCTACAGATTAACCCCACCTACACTTACATGGTCAGGCTTATCTTTCAGAAGCTCTTTTATCTTCTGGACAGCAGAAGGGGTCTGAAAGACAAAAGCATACATATAAATTTGATTTTTTTGTTTGTTTATTTGCAGTAAGTGCTTGTATGTATTAAAGTTGATGCCAGCAAGATGCACACTTCTGTAAAACAGATGTCTGCTCAACCTAATTGACATAGAGCACACCACCTCTTCACTCCTCTCCTCACCCACACTGCCAGCAAACAGACACCTCAAGAATTCAATACTTAATCCTTAACAGTGGGGGTTTTGGCTGTTAGAATATCAGAATGGCTTGGGTTAAGGAAGAGAACCTTAAAGATAATCTAGTTCCAACACCTCTGCCATAGGCAGGGACAGTAGGCCAGGATGGTCAAGGCCTTACCCAAACCGGCCTTGAACACATCCAGAACTTCCCTGGGCAACCCACTCCAGCATTGCAACTCCCTCACAGTAACAAATTTATTCTTAATACCTCATCTAAATCTCCCCCTTGTCTTATCACTACAGCTCCTGATCAAGAGTCCCTCTCCAGTTTTCCTGTAGGCCCCTGCAGATACAGGAAGGCTGCCATGAGGTCTCCAAACAACCTTCTCTTCAAGCTGGATGGCCCCAGCCTTCTGATTCTGTCTTCATAAGGGAGGTGGCTGCAGTCCTCTTACCAGCTTTGTGGCCTCCTGTGGACCTGCTCCATGTCCTTCTTATGTTGGAGGCACCAGAGCTGGAAGCAGAGTTCCAGCTGGGGTCTCAGCAGAGCAGAGGGTAGAATCCCCTCCCTCCCCTGCTGCCCACACTGCTTTGGATGCAGCCCGTTTGGCTTTCTGGGCTGCAAGTGCACATGGCTGGGTCATGTCCTCTCATCAACCATCAGACCCAAATCCTTCTTGACACGGCTGCTCTCAATCCATTCTCCACCTAACCTGTTGGTGTGCCCCGACTCAGGTGCAGGACCTTTCATTTCATTTTACTGAACTTCATGAAGTTTGTATCAGCCCACCTCTCAAGCCTGTCAAGACCTATGTTGTTTCTTCACAACTTTTCCCCCCCAAAATCACTACCATAATTCAATCAAGTAGGTCTGTTCTTGTAAAAATTTCTTCACATATCCATTACAGACGAAAATCAGTTAGATATACAGTTAGATATACTCTCTCTCCCCATTAACCTTAAGGGAACTTGTGACTTAACAGCAGATCTAGTTGATGCAGAAATGCAAGAACACAACGCAAATGTCAAAATTTCCATTACATCTCCACAAGTTTCTAAGACACTGACAAAAAACATTAGTAATGCGAAGTTCTTACTACGAGCCGAACTGAACACACAAAACAGGTAGACTTGCAGTAGAAAGTCCTTTCTAATTACGGCTACTACTCTTGTTGTTTGTGACCCACTACTGAGCAGGAATTACCTGCTCTGACAAACGACTGAACTGTGTGCACTCCGTCTGCCCCTGTTCCTGCGAGGAACTGATTGTACTTTTCTCTGCAGTGACCTCTCTCAGAATCAGAGGTTAGAAAACACCTCTGAGATCATCGAGTCCAACCTATGACCAAACATCATGTTTTCAAGTTCGGCCTCTCCAGCACGACCCCTATTATTAAGAATGCATGCGTTTTATTATTAACAACAGGATGCAAAGCCTTCTTCGAAAGAACCTACGCATCAAAGTCGGTAGGTAACACATTACCTTTTTACAAAAAATTTTGATCGCATACTCTTTTTTGGGGTGTCTATGAGACAAGGCCCCGCGCTCGCAGGGGCCGCACCGGTGCTGCCCCGGAACTCTGCGGTTCCGCAGACGGAGCGGCGGAGCGCGGGGCCTCCTCTCAGCGGGACTGGTGAGGACCAGGAAGGAGCTACGACCTCTCAACTCTCAAAAGGGGGAAGAAGAGCCCCCTGCAGCCCACCCGCCGCAGCCGCTCCGCTGGGGTCACCGCCGCCGGCGATCCCGGCCCGGCGCTGCCCGGCCGAGCGGGCACAGCCCGGTGGGGCGGCCCGTCCCCGTCCCCGCGCCCGCCCCGCTGTAGCCAGGGGCCGCCTCACTGCCCGGGGCGGAGGGGCCCGTGGCGCAGCTCCCGCACCCGAATTGCCGCGGTGCCCGGGTCCCGCCCGCTGCCTGCCCGCAGCACTGACCAGCGTGAGGGCGGCGCGGGTCGCCTGGATCCTGCGCTTGCTGACAGCGCGCACCGTGGCGCGCACCACGGACGAGGCCATGGCCCGGCGCCCTCGGCCACGGGCAGCACCGCCCGCACGCCGTGACGACAGCGCGCACGGACCGCGGGCGGGGCCGGGAGGCGGCGGCTCCACGCCGGGACCGGCGCCCCGCCTCCATTCTGGCCCGGGCGGGCCGGGCTCTGCCGGCACAGGGGCTGCGCGCCAAGATAAGCGGCAAAGACGGGCAGGCCGCCCTGCCCTTCAGCTGCCCCGGCGGAGGCCGTGGCAAAACAGCCGCTCGCGTGTCACGTGGAAAGGGTCGCGGTTTCTGAAAGCCTTTAATGATTGATTAGTCTGTCACCGCCCTTCAAGGTTCAAGTTAACAGGTTACAGAATAACAATGTTTATTAATTTAGAATGTTAGGGCTGAAAGAGCATCTACTCCCAACCCTTCTGCCGTGGGCAGGGACGCCTCCCACTAGACTAGGTTGGTCAAGGCCTTATCCAGAACTTCCCTGGGCAACCCATTCCAGCGGGTCACCTCCCTCACAGTAACCAATTTCTTCCTAGTAGCTAATCTAAATCTCCCCCTTGTTTTACCACTACAGTTCCTGATGAAGAGTCTCCAGCTTCCTTGTTAGGCCCCGTGCAGATACGGGAAGGTTGCCATGAGGTCTCTAGATACCTTTCTCTTCAACAGTCCCAACCTTCTGATCCTGTCTTCATAAAGGAGGTGGCTGCAGTCCTCTTATCAACTTAGTGCAGAAGAGGCCACACACTCAAACAGTTCCATATCCTTCCTCAGCTGGAGGCCCCAGAGCTGGATGAAGTGTTCTAAGTGGAGTCTCACAAGAGGCAAGCAAAGGGGCAGAATCCTCTCCCTGCTGTTTTGGATGCAGCCTTGAATTCTGACATGTAAATGTTCAAGGATTGCTGATGATAGTAGCTGAACGCAAATATATTTAAAGCAATATACTGATTCAATGTACTAAAAAGCTCTAATCCCTAACAAAAGGGAGCTTAGGACAATCATTTACCACTCATAGAACACTGTTCTTACCCCACAGTTGTCCTCATAGGGGCAAAGAGATGTTGAGCCTGTCTACTGATTCCAGAAGTCAAAATGGAGTCTTTCCTAACGTCACACTCTTCTGAATTCACTTTTGTACTATTTTCTTATGTTTAGATGGAACTTAAGTGGCTGTAGTCACATAGTTTACCTAGTGAGGTATCTCAGAAGATATAATGTGTCAGCCTAAGGAGAGTCAAGTCACCACAATTGCTGATTCGACAACAGGACATCTTCCTTTATCTCCCTTGGTATTCAGCTGATGTGCAGTTTATCAGTCAGAAAGAACCACAAAGTTCAAGTCTCTGCAAGAGCCTGGCTACAATGTACTCTACTCCACCCACCTTTAGCACATACAGTGAGTGGGAAGGCAGGTATGCTGACCACATTCCATGCAGGGAGTAGCAATCCTATTTTCCTCTACAATTTCCAAACCGTTATCTTTTTATCCCCAAGCATTTTCACACACCAGGGAACAGTGGAGGTCTATGAGTACACAGTCTCCCACCCACAAAATACAGGCACAGAATGTGAATATTTATTGATCATCACACTAGCAAGCATGTTAAAGTAACAATGCTTATGGCTACTCAATAGGAAGCTTTGGCTCAGCAGACAAAACCCATGTGTAGAGTTATTCAGTTTGGACAAATCCCTGAGCAAAGTGCACAGGACCTGGAACCAGTGACTGCTATGATCCATCACAGACAATGCATTGTGTCTGCCCTCCTACTGACCAGGATCCTGCCCTTTCCTCTGGGTTCATGCCTTTCTGGAGCCAAGTGAGAGGATGGCAACCGTGGTCAGGGCCCAGCTGTCCTTGATCCCTGCCTCGTGCAGAGGCATCGTGGGACGAGAGCATGAAAGCTGCTGGATGAACTGAGCTGCCATTCCCCAACTCCTGGTGGCTGCAGTGATTTGACTTGCAAGAAACCCCAATAGCTTTGGTACAGGAGACTCATGCCATTACTTTAAGTTGGATAGTGGCTACACCAGAAGGTGAACAAGTACTCATTTTTCATTTCCACATTCCAGCATCCTTAAATAGGCTAGGTAATACTTTAAATCCCTGTCTATGTAGTCCAAGTACAAACACATTTGGGACTCATCACCTCGCTTACTTCCCTGATTCTGAGCTTAGTAGTTCTGAAGAGCTTGATAGTAAGATGTGTTTTATGCATACATAATTATGCTACTGCTCTTCACTGAGGCACACCTCAAATATAAACATAGCAGGTGTATAAAGGAAGTCTCATTTTATTTAGCTATAAAAAGTGTGTCTTTTCACACATAATTCATGGACCTTGAGCATGCATCTCAAGTAAACTACTCCTACTTAGGGGTGGGAGGTTTAACGCACTACTGGGCTGAAGTCACTTGAAGTGAAGTACACTTGAAGGGGGAAAGGTCATGTACGAATGCAGCTAATACCTCCATCATTCACAAGCTACCATGCAGGCACAAAAGCTTTGATTTCCTCAGGAGGCTTCCAATCATCACTCCTCAGTCCCCTAACTGCAGAATCAATCTCCACATGGAAGACTGAGAATGGGCTAGAAATATAGCCTTCTCAGAGAAGATAAATGCAAAAATCAGTTTTAAAATCTAACTGTTCAACCGAGTAACAAGAAATGTTGATAAGTTATCAGTATGGAAAAAAGCCAACAACCCTTCCATGCTAGGAAACTCCCATTCTAAGCAGCTATTTCAAACCGTGAAAACTTATTATAAAACAATTTACCTTTAAGAAGGTAATTTTTATGTGGCTTTTGTAGTTCTTACAAAAATGTGATGATGTTTATAAAACAAATTACTGCATAATAAATTAAGTAAAATTTTAACAGATGGGGAAACAGTTTTAAATATAGCCATGAAACAAACCTCACAATTGCATTAGGGAAAATGGATGTGTGTGATCTAGAAGTTAAATAGCTAAATGACATTGACTTAGCTGTTTAAGATAGATGAAGTTTTTTGAGGTTTGCAGATGAAGTTTTTTGAGGTTTGCAACGCAGTTAACTTTCTCAGTTTCTCAGCACTGATAACTACTGTTCACAGCATAAAACATATTCCAACTTTGGAAAACCTGGACATCAAAAGCACATGAAATTCCTGTGAAATATGATGACATCACTTTTTTTCCAATACAAAAGGCAGCAAAAATAAACAACTGCATGTTCCTCCATATCATTAAGAAGGACAGGGTAATGCACCTGGTTCAGAAAAGGTTTATACACTTCATTCCCACGAGCAAAATTGGAAGTAACTCTGAACAGAAAGCTAAATAAAGCACAAAGATAATAAGCTTGAAAATGTGTTTAGGAAAGAACACAGAAGAAATTATTTGTGAAAGCAACACATCTAAAAGTTGATAGATAGCTGGCTTCAGATGGGTGAAAACCAAAGCAAGACTTAGGATGCTAGTTCCCCAACTTCCATAAAAATAGATTGAGAAGGAAAAAAAATTGAACATGATTGTTCTAAATCCAGATAATTATAGTAAGTTATCATTAATTTTGTATTTATGCCAGGAATATTGGAAACTACAACCTCAGAAAAAAAATGAGAAACTTAAGTCTGATTTTCACTTTTTTTTTAAAATTTATTTCAGATTCATAAATTAACAGTGGTTTCAATTTTAACACATAACTAATTATTTTCTGAACAAGGTAAGATGGTTTATTACCACCTCTGGAAGGACTTCAAGTAAAGCTCAATTCATACTACTAATTAATGTAAATTCTTGACTGGTACAAGGATCCTCTTCACATTCTATGAAAACGGACATGTATTTTTCCCCAGTTGCTGAATACAATACCTCTGTTTCTTAAAGCATTTTTGTCTGTATCCCCAAGGCCCTGAAAAAGATTCTTAGCAGCAACAAAACAGGACTGACCTGTTATCTAGTCTGTCTTTCTTTCTTCTTGAACACAAGCACAGCAGCAAATGAACTCCCATAAAAATCACAGAATGGAAAACAACCCCACAAAATCTCAGTGGCACTGCTTGTCCAGAGAATGCTGTATATATGATGACTAGTGGCTATGTTTTTAGTTCTCTGGAGAAATTAAAAAAAAATGTAGCAATCTACAAACATCTCAAACACTTACACAAGGATTCAGTAAACAATCAACATTAATAAATATCATTTGCTCCTTCAAAAGATTCATTTTTGAAGAAAATATAATTTATTTGGCTAGCACATAGTTTTAGTGCAGTTTAAAATGGTCAGGTGGAACAATAAAACCCTGAAAACAGTTTATTTTTAGTACCTGCCCTTTTCTAAATGCATTACCTAATAAACAAATACAAAACATCATGGCTTTCTATTAAAATGCTCGAACAATCTAATAAAGAGCAGGGGTCTGTATTAAAATCCACAGTTGCTTGTACTAGCAATCTAAAAGAAAACACCCATATTTTCATTGAACTTAAGCTGAAGGTTGTCTATGCTGCTGTCCTGTGAATTCAGACGCTTTAGCCAAAGACATTTCTTTTAAGTGAATTATGGATCTGTGTTGCAATTCATCAGTGCTTAATATCCCTCATGATTCTTGCTGGGTCCTCTTCTGTGAGGCTTTTCCCTGAGTCATGTATTTATCGGAAAGGCTGCCTAAATTGGGAGGAAGAAAGCATCATGCTTTAAAGGTATTATTTGTTGGGTATTTTTTTTTAAAGAAGAAAAAGAAAAAAAAGAAGGAACAAAAAGACATAAACCAACTGAAACAAAAAGACAGGAGAAAATTGCTGTCAAGTCAAACTGTAATGAAAGAACATACAGATCAACTTTAAGATCATTACCTGCTGAAGGACAGTAGGACATAATAAAATCCAAAATTGAAAACCACCATTTTCTTGAACTAAACACCTAACGACAAACCACTTTGTGTTACAAAATTCCCAAACTTAGATTTGAAAAAGGCTTCCAGTGAAGACAAAAAAATCCAATGTGTCTTCCCAACAAAACAGATAATTTAATTTAAGGTGCTTCATTGCAGTGAAGTCTCTACAAACTACAGAAAACTAATTAGGTCCCCCT